CAAAATGAGTGGTCAATCATTGGATTTGATGAAGAATTGACGAAATTATGGCGTACCGACAAAAAAACACCTTTTAGAAATAATATTTAGTTCTACTTTATTTTTATGGTATTAATCAATCTTAATAAAAACTAACAATTGTTAAAGGAAAAGAAATTTTGATTACCAATGTAGTAAAGTATTTAATTAAAAAAATAAAATAAATCAAAATTTCGAAGCATATGCCCCAATAGCCATTGGGCAAGACGAACATATAAGATCTTTTCTCACCATTTCATCAACTTCGAAGGACTTGTTTTCGACACGCAACTACACTTACACAGGCAAGTATAGTTCAGTTTTTAAGACACTCATACCATCTGAATAATATCGAGAATATTAGCCAATGACAATATAATTGAGTAATCATGTCAGACATGTCAAATATGTAACTCTTCAACAATAGGTTTACATTTATAAATATTTATATACCTGCTTTATATTCGACAATCATGAAATAGCATCTTTATTTATTTTGTGGACCAACCTAAACATTTTCTATTTAATTAATACTTATAACCGATAATGATTTAATAAACTTATTAATTTTAAAACTTCGTGTATTTACACGATGAATGGACAAACGCTTAAACCTTCCAATTAATTACAAAATACTCATATACATGACGCTAATAAGACCTATTTGGACTTCCGTAGTTGAGCTTTGGGGCTCCACTAAACCATCCAATTCCTCTCGTATGCAATCCTTACAATCCAAAATCCTACGTAAAATCCACAATGCTCCCTACTTTGTTACAAATAAAATCATCCACAGTGAACTTAATGTTGCTTATGTTTCAGATCTGGCCCAATCCAGATATCTATCCTTCCATAATGAGCTTCATAACAATCCCAACCCTCTTGTTTCTAACATTGCTTCCTATTCAATTCCTGATAACCCTCCGAGGCGTCTGAAAAGAAGATAGCTCCGTGATCTCCTAATATAGACATATTATTAGAGTGCCACCAATGGGTAGTTTCTCAACATGTGTTTCATGTCATTATATCCATGTACGAATTAACTAGATGTATTTTTTCTATATAGTTGTAAATATCATATAATTAATAATAATAAAAAAATTTAATGGTAATACATAAAACATAATTAAAAGATGAAAAGAAAATATATTCTATGCATACATATTACCTGTATTGTACCTTCAACAGCTGAGAAAATAATCAATATTTAGGATATGGTTCATTAGAAGAGAAACAAAAGACAAACAAATTATACACAGTTTAGAAAAGCTGATTTTGCAATCTGGATGATTGGTTACCTTAAATAAATAGATTGCAATGGTGAAACATCATTCCTCAGTTGTAATTGTTAAAGTAAAAAAAAAAAGAAAGAAGAAGAAGAAATAGGATCCTGATCAGTACCGGAACAAAATGCGCTTCATTGGTCGGACAAAAAAAAAAAATAATAATAACAAGCTATTTACGGTCGCAAAAATAAGAAATCCGAAACTTTTTGAAAAATAAAAGTAGAAATGGACACAAAATATAAAAGGATAGAAGTTTAACCTTTTCATAATTATTACATATTGCAAACTGAATTTTAAGTTTATTTGTTGACTAAAGGAGACACGCCTAAATAGTTAGACAATTTCGTTTGTAATTAAAATAAAAATATATTTTTTTTAATGTTAAAATGTTACGATTTTGAATTTCGAGATTCAAACTTTTAGTTATTAAATGCATGGCGGTTTTTTTTAAAACAATAATTTATTTGTAATTAAATGACTTGATAATAATAACTATTACTAAATTTTAGTTACTAATTTAGTAATTATAGTTACCTAGCATATAGTACACCAGATATTTGATCATGCTAACACCTAAAGTTCAGAATATATTCGGTTGGCAAATAAGTCCTTTAGGTTTTTCTGTTTATTTTTATGTCACCATAATACAGTTCTTATCTGATGAATTAATCCATAAGGTGGATTGTTTATCCTGTTTGTAATACGTCAACAACTATATCTGTTAACGCTTATTGAAACTAGCTTAGTATTGTGTTTGCTATTACACTGTGAATATGGAAGAAAATATCATTCATCATCGGTATATTTAGTTGTATTATTTTATAAAAGGTAAGCGTTCTGCAGAAGCTCATAGTAAAATTTTCAGCGTTTATCGGGATGATGCCTTAACCGAACGTATATTTCAAAATTGTTTTGCCGAACTTCATTCAGGAAATTTCGACATCAATGTTAAGACCATTGTTGATCAAAATCCCACCCAATCAGTACGATTGCTATGGCGCTAAATGTGTCGCACACAAGCTTAGAAAAACATTTGCGCAAGCTCGGCTGTTTTCAGGCTTAATGTTTGGGGTCCCTCACATGATTTTTTTTTTCGAAAATCACAAAAAATGTTATGACTTCAAAACGACTTTAGCTATCTACAAGAAATTTAGCAAGAATTTAGGCCCACATAAAAAAATAACAAAAGAATATTTGAAACTGGCTTTATATATAAATGGAGAACAATATAGGCCATTTAGCATGTTACAGTTATATACTCGTTAATTTCGTACATTTTACTTAACTAATTTCCGTTCTTAATGTTAAGGGTAAGTGTACTCTTGTTAAGATATGCAAGACTGGAGTCTTTATTTTTATGATAAAATAAGATTTAATGATGTCTAAGGGTTGGTTCTTTTTTTTATAACTATTGCCATTTGGCAATGGATTTTAAGAAAGACGATGATCGGCAAGCGAATACACTGAATTCCATGATTTCTTATTGTTTCTCTGCCTACAATAGAAACCACATTGAATATACTTAAAGGGATAAAGAAGAAATGAAGTAGAAAAACGTAACAAACACTTCAATTTTCAGCAAGATAACAACACTATGCTAAAGTAGCAGATCTAGGATTAAATTTTGGTAAAACAAAGAATTGCAATAGGAGGGCTTCCTTCGGGACCTCTTCTCATTTGAAGCAGTGAACTTATTATACATAATATAATTGGTTTATTGGGCTTAGATCATTATAGAAACAAAAATGGACCAATGTAAAAAACATAATAATTTTTTGGAGAGAGAAAAGGCAGATCCCAAAATCTTTTCTCACTTTGAATCAACTAGTGCTATAATCCAATCTTATGCAAAATATTTATATTTTTAATATTTCATGGGCCCTTAAAATGTCATAGGGCGGTGTTATATTGTACGTACTTATATTTTGTTGAAAATAAATATGGAGGATCGGAATAAAATACACAAAATATTTATATATCATTACTGAAAGACATACCAAATTTGTAAAATGTTTAAAGTAGGTAAATACGTAACCAATCCCTTATTTGTTTGTAAATTAAATTGTAGCTTTAAGTTTTAGTTTGTAAGTACAATACAAGAAAAAGGTGAGCCCCATCACCTAATCATTATAAAGAAATCAAGGATATTACCAGAAATAATAATGAAGATATAAACTTCCATAAAATGCAATAATTCAATTTATAATAATGTTCAAATTGATAATTGCCAATCATTAATTTTTTTTTTTTCATAGTCATTTTGATAATCAATGATACACATTGAAAAAAGATATATTTCCTTCAATAATTTTCCTTTGTAGATGCTATATTTAAGACATTCATCTCACTGAAATTCTACATTTCATGAATATTAATGTTTGAAAAAAATAAATAAATAAATAAAAGACTGAAAAGAAAAACATTCACATAGATACATTAAAATTTGGGTTTATTTTAATTCTGATAGTTTATGAAAAGGCTCCATCTACAAATCTAATATAGTTAACATGTTCAGAAATTATCTTGTTCGTAAATCATTTTAATTGTAAATTGTTCAAAAAGTCGCGCTTTGTGCATTATAATTTAATCGAATATCCAATTTCTCAATGACGATAGTGTCGATTTTGGTCCAAGGTATAGGTACTAAGCAAAACACCACTAACCTCGTAAAACATGTTCTCATTCGATTTTAATAAAAACATTAAATTAATTTTAGTCATTTCAATGTTAAATACGACTATATCTTTCACACTGCAAAGTTTATTATTTTTCAAAGAGGAATGTCAGTGCGATGATAAAATGCATTTAACAGTTGCCACTTCATAAATATTTTCAATCAGGAAAACCGTATTAGGAGAAAAGAAATTCTTCTACCAGCGATGTGTTAGTGTTGAGGGAAATCGCAATTATGACTTTGAATTTAATCGTTTAATTAAATAGGAATCTTTAATTCGACATAAATAGATTACTTTACTCATGTATATACTTTAATCATATACATATATAAAATATCTTAGAACTAGTATTGCCCAAAATCGGTCTTGGTCTTGCACTTTGCAAGGCCAAGACCAAGGCCGCTTCACTGTTGCAAGACCAAGACCAGAACTGGTAAAAAAATTAATTTTTTAATAAAAAATTAAGGCAAAATAGTTACTAATACTTGACAATCTTAGTTACTATATGTTAATAATTGGTATAACCAATATACTTTTGCATTTAACTCTCTAATTTTTCATTCGGGCTTAGTTAGGTTTCTCCTATCTAAAAAATTACATTAATATCTCTATAGTAATAAGCTAATAAGTAACTGCAAGACTGTTGCGAGAGTCTTGCGCAAGACCAAGACCATGACCAAGACTGAGTTTGCAAGACCAAGACTAGTCTCGGTCTCGCATTTGGGCAACACTACTCGGAATCTATATCGTAAACGACGGTGTTTTTTTCTGCTTCAAGTACACGGTTAAAGTAAGTTTATAATGTGATATAATTGAAATGTATGCCTTTTTTCTTCAATGGACGCTGTATACTCACTTTTATATTTTTAGTTCTTAATAATTAAAGATAGAAAAACGTAGGAAAAAAATCACTGCTATTTTAATTTCAATATAGTTATATAGATACTTATCACCAACATTTTTCTACGAAAAATACCAACAAAGTTACACTAACTCCTCTTCTACCAATACACTAACTCACCAAGCTGCCTCCTTGAGTTCACGGTTGGACTACTCTAAACTCCGCCAGTACTCCAACCTTATCCAACTTTCCCCTCCAGGCTGCCCCTCCTTCCTGGACATCTCCGTCTATTTTTTCTTTCTGCGCCATGGTTCAGTAATTTCGCATTATCTTCATGAACACCGTCTACCTTCCTATACATTAAATTATCTTATATTATAAACATATGGATATCTACGTAATCAAAAATGAATGAAGTGCACAACTCAAATAAGCATTACTTTTGTGTAGTTGTTTCTAAACAATTATTAAATCAACAATAAATGTTTTCATGTAAGTATTTTATTCCCAAAAACTACCAACAGCTCAGGGATGATGACCCATGAAGCTACCCCTTCCTAAGACATTTAGTTGCTCTCCTCTACTTAAAAACAGTTCAAGCGAAAGTAGGTTTTACAAAAGATTGACCTGTTCCATGTTTTCGCTTAGTTCTTTGGTTAGAGACTTTTCTATCCGAAAATTGATAATCTTGCCGAAATGTGCCATCCCCAAAAATTCAAAATCCAGTCAAAATGTGACGTCCTCAACGTTTGATGCCGCAACTTGAGCGATGAAACCCCATTCTCTCGTCGCTAGGATTGTTGCGGTATCGGGCAAGTTTCGTTATTCTTAATCGATATCGATACAGGTCTTTGATAAATTGATAAATCAGAAATTTGTGCGCTTGTTGTAACAATACGTATATTTGATGTATAAAAGCGTTCGTGAAGTTTTAGTGCACTTAATGTGTTTTTTATAGATAAATAAGGTTTGATTAAAAAAACGTTTTTAAAAGAACAGCTCTAATCAATAATGTACTTAATGACTTTTACCAAGAAGTCAGCGATATGAACTGCATTCTTTGAAAATATTGTAACCCTATTTTATAACACATGGAGATATTTAAGGGTTTGTACTTGAATAGTTTAACAAATATTGGTACATGTTAACACGCTCATTTTATGTTTTACAAATATTAAATTGATTCGATTTTTTAGTTAAAAAAGGAAATATTGAAATCCGACTATTCATATTTATTTTTCTTCTTTGATATTGCCATTTATTTTTTCGATATTACGGTAATATCGAATTATTTGTTTCGTTCCGATATTGAGTGAAAGGAAAGGAAAGAAAATATCGATATTATCGCAACATTCCTAATGGACGCATTAATCAATTCAGGAATAAAGCAAACGGTAATTAATCTGAAAGAAAATATATGAAATAATGTTTAAATAGTTCTTGAGGATTTGAAAAAAGAAAACTTACAGTAACAATAGTGCTTTTAGCGGTAATATTTACATGGTAACTAATTGGCCCGTGCGAATAATTCGTGTGTGAGCAAAGAAATGCCTTTAAGAAATAATAAAGTTAATATATCAGCCAAGAAAAAAATTGTAGTAGACTATTCTACTCCTAAATACAATATCTTTAAAAAGGAAGGCATTATTAAGTATACCAAAACTAATGGACTGTATCTTTGTTAATAATTGTCCGATTTTTACAATTTGCATGCATACTTTTTGAGTTATTTGCAAATAAAGTTTCTTTTCCTTCATAACTTTTTTCCAGAAATTTAGGGGGGACAGGACTATTTTTCGCATGTGCAGGAAAATAATATTTCCAAAATGTATCGAAAAAAAAACACCTTTTAGAAATAATATATATGATAGAAGAGCTGTGCTGAGATAGTCGTCATGGCAACGACTTCACTTTTTATTATGATGTTTTTGCCTACCGTTAACTAAAAAATTCATACCTCCTCAGGATTTTATCCCAATTCAATGTTTCTACAACCATTAAAATCTGAATTATCGCTCAAGACCGTACAAATAACTTTTTGATTAAACACATCTATAAAGAGTAAATAAATAAAAACTCCTAACAGATTTTTATTTTATAACTTGAGTTCCAAATTATTTAGGCGAGTACAGTATGTTTCATTTCGTGTAGTTTATAAGACCCTATATCCCTGCAAAATTTTGGGTGAATAGGTGGAAGCATATTGAAGTTATAACACTTTTTTTGATTTAAAAAAAAAATCAAAGGGGGGCTCAATCACTGGATTTGATGAAGAATTGACGAAGTTATGGCGTAAACACGTTTTAGAAATAATATATACGATAAATTTTTTAAAATGAATATGTTATATGGCCTATAATTGTTAGTTTCACTTTCCTAAATATGAGAATACCTATTTCTACTCTAACACAACATACCCTCTAGGGTAGAGGTGAATACAAATAAAAAAAAAGGTAGGATGGTAAGTGAAAGTTGTGTGATGCGCGCAACTCACCAGATTTTTCGTAATTAGTTTCTTTCAAAATGTTGAAATACTAACAATTGGTTGTTACGAAATTCGTCATTTACATTTGTCGTTATTTTGTTCTAATTTCGAAAAAGGATGGCTGCATTCCAACCCTCCTTGCCTGCTCCTCCTCCTAAGCTATGTCCATGTGACCACAGAAAAATACAAAAATTGTAATGAACACCAGTCAAGGACAGTTTTTGCTTTAAACGCTATCACATGATATATATAAAGTATATGACGTAATCAAATATCTTAACACAACCCCTAACTTCATTTAAATTCATAATTTCATGTAAGCCTACACTTTTCAGTAACATACATGTCGTTTTAAAATTGAGGTATTGCTTTCTCAATTCCTCTTTGTAAAATATATAACAGTTTGCTTACTTTTTTAAAAAATAACCTACTATATATATATTCATTATCAGCTGTTGAACCCTTTGAAATAGTAAAAGTAATAATGTGAAAATTTTATTACCAATTAATTAATTTTAAATGATATGGCACAATTAAACTCTTTCTTGCCCGAACCAATAGATGAAAATGAAGAAGCGGAGCGGTTGTACTTTTTAGAAAGGAGGTGCAATCTTCTGAAGAGGAGTGGAATAATAGAAAAACTACATACAGTGTTTAATGGCAAACCTAATAACAGCAAGTATCCAATTAAAATCTATACAAAAAAACGTGAAGTCCAAAACAGAGATCTCACTGCTACTGAGGACAACCTTAAAAATGATACAACTGATAGAGGCCAAATTATTCTAAGAAGATCATCAAGGCTGAGAAGAAAAGATGTAGAATCAAATGGAAATAATGAAAATGACACCAAACCACCTCAGAAAAGCATCCATACCATACAAGAAATAAGGAAAATAAACTCAAAGACAACAGGAAAAAGCAAGTGATGTATAAAACAATCTGTTTAGTGATGCCTAAATGTGTTGTATATAAAAAAAATTATGTTTTTTGATTTATAAATAAAATTTTCGAGGCAAAATTAAATTAATGCCATGGTTCAAAGACAAATCATTACACTTGATACTCTTTATTCATCTGCAAGGTGGAGTTAAAGACTGCGGTACTGTTCATTATTCTAAAAATGTCTTTCTACACATGCGTAATTTAATATTTAAAAAAATTAAAGATACAAAATGCCACAAGATTTATGCATAAAATTGGTACTATTTTCCTATCGCTACCCTAAGTTGGTTCCCGGCTTTAAGATAACCCAGAACACGTTATTCTCAGATTTCCGATGAAAGCCGATAGTAGCCGAGTAGCCGACAGTTTAGTTAATACCCAACATTTTTACCTTGACTAACAAGAGTTATTCAGGATTAGGTTAAGTTATTTTCCCGCCTTTCTAATACTTATGCACGTAAAATAATGAAATACGTAATAAGAAAAATATCTATGCTAAAAAAATGAGTTATTACAACTCATCAATTAATTCGTAGGGTCGTAATTATTGTTATTTGGGATTAATAATTGGATTATCAGATCCGGAATCCTATAAATTCCGCGGCATAGGCCACTTTTTATCAAATTAACATCAGTCTAAAACTTCGGGTATGGATTTATTTTTATCATAACCTACAACTTTTTTGTTTACGAAAATTCTCAGTGAGAGAACGTAAATTACTTAATTTAACGAGTTACTAAAATCTCATGAGTACTCCTTCACTTTCCAATTGAATTGTAAAATAATTTGATCACGAAATCGAGAAAAAATACGACCTAAAAAATTATTGGGCCGTTTGGCCTGTGTAACCAAGTTATTTTGATATTTTGGAGTTGTCACACCAAACGGTTTTTCTCGATTTTATGATCAAACTATTTTACAATTCAAGTTGAAAGTAAATGGGTGTTCATGATTTTTTAATATCTGATTAAATAAACAAAGTTTACTGATCTTCAGATCGAAAACGCCCCATTTCCGAGAATTTTCATAAATAAAAAAGTTGAAAGTTAGTACAAGATAAAGCCAAGTTTTAGAAAGATGTTAATAATTTGATAAAAAGGAGTCCGTACCGCGGACTATTATATATATTTCTATCTTTTAACAATAATTATCGAATATTATGATTGAATAATAATTAACCTCTTAAAATGTAGGGTAATTTACGATCATTTACTACAATGTAGGGTAATTTACTGGTCTATATCGGTAGGTTTCGGCTATTTTTGGGAATCAAGGGGTAGCATGCTCATCATGGGAATCATGCTCTGAATGATCTTGGAACCAGGCAACATCTGGTAGTAAAATCTATCTAAATCTCCAAAGGTGTAGTAATTATGTTAATTTATTTATTTATATTCCTTAAATTATTTTTATAGAAAATCTAAGTTCTAAAAATTATGTTATATTTGCACTACATTTCATTAGTCAGTGATTCATAATTTTTATGGAATATTTCGCTACTGTTAGTGCAAAATATCGTATGTAAAAATTGACTTTTTTTTACAGAAGATCATTACCAAAACCGATTAGTTCTTTATGATTTATTAGTATAATTTCATATTTTATTTCCCTCTGCTGCAAAGAGGATAAACATGTAAAATTGTTACATGCGACCTTTTGCACTAACAGTAGTGATATGTAATATACCATGTTAATAATAAAATGATAATCTGAAACAATAACATGAGAGACGGATACAGAAGCACATAACTAATAATAATTTAATAATAAAGGCATTGTCTTCCTGTATATTCTTTATTTTTCTCTCTTCTGCGCAACCGGTTTCGGTCTTTTATCAGACCTTCATCAGGCTAGGTAAAATAATAAAATTAACAACAACAATAAAAACTTTTGCAAATAATAATAAAACCTAATTTAAAATTTAACAATTTAAAATCCAATCTTAATAAATTATTTAATAAAAATTGCAATCGCCTAACTTATGGTGGTCCTCCTCTCCTGCTTGTCAAATGAGGACTAAAAATAAAAATAATACTATTGACCAGATGGGCTATCCCTACTCCCACGTCTTATTTTCATTCGCTAATTTTATGAGTGCAGAATCCTCAAATTGAATACTTTGTACATTTGTATTTTCTTAATACCTAATTTTTTTTTAAATTCCATTCTTTTCCCTTTTGAAATATGTTAACAGTTTTATCTTATTACTTTTTTGTGGGTATGAACAATATATTTTTTTTTAGCTTTAATTTTTTTATTCACAGCTGTCATAATGGTAATGACAACCAGTGAATGTGAGGTCGATTGGAAAATATAATGTCATGAAAGGCATGAGGAGGATCAGTGCCCAGCGGCACCTCACTCGGCGTGATATCTACATTAGGCGAGGAGGTCCCTCATCCAGCTCCTCTTCAGTCTCCTACAGACGTTACCTGGCATATTCGTAGTGGCCATGTCATTTATAAGTGTATTAGGATGTCCTTGTAAGTTGTCATGGAATCGTTTGTAATGAGTTCGTATGTGTTCGTTAACAGTCGGCATATGGAGGTCAGTATGTAAAGTTATGTTGCTAACGTACCAAGGTGCTTTTGTAATTGTTCTGAATGTTTTTGCTTGAAAGATTTGAAGTTTGTTTAAGTGAGTCTTTTTAGCAGTTCCAAATATCTGTGATGCGTAAGTCCAAATAGGTTTTAGTAAGTAATTGTACGTGTTCAATTTCTGTCTAAGTTTTAGTTTTGAATTTTTCGAAAGAAGTGAACTCAGAATTCTTAACCTTTGATTTAGCGTTTTTCGTTTCTTTATTATATGTGGGCCCCACGTCATTTTTCTGTCAAATGTCAGACCTAGGTAGTGAACGGTGTCTGTCTTTGGAATCTATGTGTTGTCAAGGAAAACTGGAGGGCATGTTTCATGTCGAAGCGTAAATGTGATGTGCTGTGATTTGTCTTGATTTAGTCAGATTTTTCAAATTTTGAACTAGTCATGTAATCTTGTTAAATACTGTTGTAGGGTATGTGAGGCGTATATTGGATTTTTGTGTCTTGCAAAAATTGCTGTGTCGTCTGCATATGTCCCTGTTAAAATGTAATGTAAAATGGGACTGCAGGGTATGTCATGGCTGTATGTGATATAGAGTAGTGGAGCGAGTACTGAACCTTGAGTTACTCCTGCTGAGATAGACCTGATGGAAGATAACTCTGACTCGTGTCGGACCGAGAAAGATCTATCGGAAAGGAAGGATTGTAAAATTAGATAATATGTAGGTGGGAGTATTGTCTTGAGTTTAAAGAGAAGACTCTGGTGCCAAACTCTGTGAACAATTTAAAAAATGATCTTTAAAATGTGACGCATGGCCTGACCCAGGGAGTTGTTCTTTAATTCTGCTTGTTAGTTTCCTTCCCGCCTGCCCGGTATAAAATGCAGAACACGAACATTATATGGAGCAGACCCCACTCTTATTTAAAGGATCAATTCAATATTTAGACCTGGAGACCATGCTTTTTAAACTTTTAAAAGGTTTAAGGGCCACAATTTTTGTTGTCTCTTTTGAAAATACTATAAATTTTATAAGTATCAGGAACTATATATGTAATTGTTCTGAAATCATTAATATTATTATATTGTAGACTGGTATAAGTTGCTTCTTCACATTTTTATCTTTCCATTTTTTTCAATAACTTCTGTGGGGTCCCCATTATTTATAGCAATTTGAAAAATTATTGTCTTTTCTTTGTTAATTTTGTTGGAAACATGTCATGTTACCCAATGTCACATTTACTTGTTGTATTTTACATATAATTCAGTTGTAAATTTCATTAAATTAAAAAAAAAATTTGTTGGGGATAAACGTATTTTTTGTAATCTATTAGCTAACAAGTAAAAAGTGCTGAGTTTTTGTGTCCAAGGGTGGCACCAGACAAACGGTATTATAATGTTTGTAGTAAATGTGAAATGTTAATGAATTATTGTCAATTGAAATGGTCAAGTCAAGGATGTTAATTTCATTTGGACCTATTTCTATTATGAATTTTATAGGAATATATATTATTGATATCTGAACGAATTTATTTAATTCGTCTATCTTCTCTATCCATATAGGGTAGAGATAGCCCATCTGGTCAATAGTATTATTTTTATTTTCAGTCCTCATTTGAAAAGCAGGAGAGAAGGACCACCATAAGTTAACCATTTTTATTAAATAATTTATTAGGATTCGATTTTAAATAGTTAATTTAGATTTTTACAGTGCTATCAATGTGTAGATTCTCTACGAGCCTTGTCATGTCATGTATTTCTTTGTATCACATTTGCTAAACGTATATTAATTTGTACAGTTGTAAATTTCATAAATAAAAAAATAACGTTTATTATTGTTTGCAAAAGTTTTTATTTTTGTTGTTAATTTTATTATTTTATCTAGCCTGATGAAGGTCTGATAGAAGACTGAAACCGGTTGTGTAAAAGAGAGAAATATAAAGAATACACAGGAAGACGTCTTTTTTATCAAATTAAATTAAATTTCAATCCTGTAACATCAAGCCACAATTAAAGAATAACTAATAATAGGTGCAAGTTTACCAACTTGGTAGTTTCTTATTTGTTCTTGAAGGAAAAAAATAATGATGAAGATGAACGGGAACATCGTTAAAATGCTGTGGTAATAATTATAAGTATTTTATTAACAAAGTCGCTGAACATCAACATGCGAAGTGCAGTTACCAGCAGCCATAAAGACGGCTGTTAGTGGTTAGTTTGGGTAAGCATGATGTTACTCGCAGGCTCTCGTGACGTCAGTGCATATATATTGTCTCGCTTTACAAGACAGTATATATTCACCTACTATGCTCCTCAAATCCCAGGAACCACCACAAATCAGATGTAAGAAGGTACTCAATGATCCGATTAAATATAGACGATAGCCAGAGGAAGGTGGACACCATCTTTCGTGGATTCCATGCTATTTGAAATAACATAAGTAAGGGCATATCAAAACCCACTTCGGCTATGGATGACAAATTTTGTAGGTGGTTCTCTTCCAATGGCCACCTAGCAAAGAAATGCTCAAAGAAAAATAAGAAAGTTGACTCAATCTATGCCAACTGCATACGAGAAGGCCTTCCAAAACGCCATTCTAGGAATAATTTTTGGGAGAATATAAAGGAAGGATTATATCAAGAATCATAGCCCTGAACAGATACCTAGATCTGTCACAAAATAAATTTCAACATGCACAGGGCGGATTCGAACCGCTGCATCTGAACTCGGAATTGTTAAAGTTATGACGCCTACACTACCTCAATCAGTGCTTCGTTAAAATAGTTCGTCAACTGTACCTCTAAATGGAACATTGCATCAGACCTTCTAGCAACATAGGCATTTCCTTGAAACAACCGTAAATGTACAAACCATTGTGATACTCAATATTTGAGTACTATAGGATGATGCAATAGGGGAAACCTACTCCTAAAAATACTGACTACAAACACTAATTTAAACATTTTATTTTCAACAAATAAACTGAGTTATTGCCATGAGATCATGAGTAGCATAGTATGCCATTACAATTTTTGAAGGGGCTAAAATTTGAATCCAATTGTGGAAGCTCAGTAAAGCACTAGACTCCTATACTCGAGGTCCTGTGTCCATGCTGGAGTCAGCATACCCTCCAGCCTCTATAGAGTGGATGTTCTTAATTAAATAATTCATTGAAGAGGAAATTGGACAAAAACAATACTGAACCTAAGACCTCCATGGGTTATAATAGTACAGGATGTTTTTATTTATTTTTTTTTTTACTAAGAGAAGTAATCTTCATAGTAGTATTCTTCTTATTGATTGATTTTTTAAAAATAGATTTTAGACAGCCTGGGTTTTAAAGTTTATTAATTGCAGTTGAGTGGAGTAAGGGCAAAATCCTGTGGATGGGTGTGAAGAGTAATGTGAATTTGCACAATTATTATATGTAGGCAAACACCAAGCTGAATAGGACAATCACAGATCATTACCAGCAACAAATCACGTTTCAGCCTTGGTATGGTTAAGAGTAATTGGCTGATTTGTGGTGTTTTGATAATTTTTATACAGTCAGAATTACCATGCTTTCAAAGCTTAATATTTGTAAAAGTTTTCACTGAAAACTAGATAACCTTTGGTCAACCAACTATATTTCATCTCCTAGAGCTTATGATTCCTCCTCCTCTTTTTTCATTTCCTGTTATCTTATCTCCTAGAATCCTTCAGAGGTCTTTTCTCTAAACATCTGAAACTTCTTATTATAAATTAACTGTTCCTCAAAAGGGTCCAAGTCTAAAAACCATAAAGAATTGGTTGAATGAGGGTCTTAAAGAAATTTATCTTTAGTTTGCCTGAAGAGATGGTCTGATGCTCTTACCTGATAGGAAACTTCTTCTCCCTTCCAAAGTTATCATCAGATTTCATAGACCATTTCTTTAAGAAATGATTTTTGTAAGAGAATTTGAATGCAAAAAAATTGTCGTTTGAATATAATGGTTCATTATTGAAAATAATAAACCAAAAATGTTGGAAATCAAAAAGTTTTAATTCCATAAAACTGCAAAAAAATCAAAACAGGTAGCTTTATTTTTTAGCAAAGTTGAGGAGTAGATAGGTCCTCAAAATTTTCTGGTTCTTACATAGTACATCCTATATTTATTTTGTATACAATTTAATTTGTGTGAGAAAGAAAGCTAGATAAAGTAAAAATATTTATTTACAAGGCACAAAGTTTTTATAAATAAAAATCACAACATAATAATACTAACACCACAAAAAGTAAAGCTTTTTGTAAGATACACTAACTAGAAGAAGAACAACATAATTTAAATATAGCCAGAGGTAACTTTTAAACTGATTACGGCAGGTAAAATATAAATTTTAATAAATAATTAATGAATATTTTGACTTGACCAAATACTTAAGTAATATGATGAAAATAAAAACTAAATATTAATCCTTCCAGTGTAATTATCACAATAGTTTGAACTATCTGGTACTACTTTCATGATGATGAACCTTTCGATTTTAATTTATCAAATACACAACAAAATAACTTAAACCCCATACCACTACAAATCTAGAAATATCCATTTTTTTTCTTGCAAATTTTGAGCCGATTAAAAAATAAGTACGTTTATATACTTTTTTATCATAAAAAAACCATGCTTTACATTATTCGACCATTGTGCTTCTGAATTAATTTCATAAATCATTAAGCAGGTTGGCACACCAAGGCAAGCCCTATAAATTTCATTTATAAATCTATTTCAATTATGTTCAGTAATTGATCAGTAAATTTGCAGGGGCATCTGCAGACACAATCATTTACTAGCACATTCCTTGCTCTTTATGGCACTTTTTGTCTTGAAAAGATAAAAGTTGCATTTATTTGAAATCAAATAAAGCATTTATTTCAAATGCTTAAAAATTTGAATTAGTGTTCGCTATGCTTGTATAAGAGCCATTGAAATTATTTACCTCAGATGAAAATTAGACATTATTTAATAAATAATATAATAATTTTTTTAATTCCTGGAACTATTAAGAAATTGAATTAAGTAAAAGTCCAGAAGCATGAGTGGCAAAAATGATATGGACTAGGAAGGAAGACACAGCCAAAATAAATCAGAAAAATATGAATAAATAAAAACAGAAATATAAATAGATAATTAAGCCATTTATGGCTTAATTACGGCAGCATTTATAAAAAAAAAAAAATATGATCTAACACTTTAAGATATGTAAAAGATAACAAAAACCAATCATGGTTATCATTATCATCCTTTGACAGGCTTACGGTATGCCATAAGCTGGAACACAAATGCAGCAATCTTTTCATAACAAGTGAACATGAGGGCAGTAGTAAGAACAGTTTGTAATATTTTTGCTTCCATTCCCTTAAAGAGGCCATTTAAACCATCCTTCCTATAATAAAAATAATTTTATTAAATCAATGACAAATATATAAAACAATTGGAAGTACAAATATTAAACTGTAGACCAAGTTTAAATATGCAATGATTTTGCAACTAATGACGATACAATTATATATTGGTATTAGGACAAGGAACAGCTATGATTTGTTCAGTATTAGTAGTTTAATGAATCAGTTTCATAGCTAAGATGCTACGTTTTATTCACTAAAATCAACAAATATCTAATCAAGCAATAAAATAAATTTATTTAGTTTTTATGTTATTTTTTAAGAAAGGTCTTGTTTTGAATGTCAAATGTACTCCACTCTTTTACGTATCAAAAAAAGGCATCTTGTCATTTTTTGGCGAAATATTAAATATTTATAATTAATATTTTTTTTCAATTACCATTTTTATTCAGTCTTAAAGTATTTCTTCAAAAATAAAATTTATTTTAAGTGAAATGGTGTGTTACAAAAATACAGGTAGTTTATTCATTAGCTTACAAGATAAGATTAAAAAAAAAAAAAACTCGAAAATTTTCTTTTTATAATTGTAACAATTTTCTTTGGTACTTTTAGAGAAGGTTATCATCACCTGTTTTTTGTTTTTTTGTATATTATGAAGTTTGTTAATAATGAGAGGATGCTTCTTGCTTTTGTGCAATGTTTGATATACCTTTTACTTTTCTTACCACAGGATGTGATCAAAGTAAGGTGCTTTAACTGGGTCAAACTTTCAGTGTCTGAATCACGTTTTAGAACCTTCAGAATCTCAAAAAAAGCATATTCCATAATTTTTCTATACTACAATGTCATAACACCCCCATACATATTTAAAATTATATTTAATTATCTGGTGTATGAGCAATGTACTAGGTGAAACTGGTATCATCACTCAGTATGAATTATATAGAAGCAAAGTAATAGTAGAATTGCAAAATAGACAATTCTCACTAAACCAAGAATAATGTGTATGAAATAGAATCCTATTAGAAGAACATAACAGCAAGAAAATATTCTAAATGGTTCTTGATGAGAAAAAAATATATTAGAATGATCTAATATTTGATCAGAACTGTCCAACATGGACTGAACTTCAATTAATAATATTATATAACATAATTGATATATGATAAAACAACACTTGTATTAAAAATCTATTATTTTCTAACTGTGTCAAATGATAAAGAAACAAAAACATTCAAACTAAGTTAAAAATAAATTTCTTACTAAAATAAACTTTTACCTTATTATGTAAAGCAGAATTTTAATCATATCTTGATCCTCATATTCAGAATTTCGATGCTGAAAATGAAATCATTCAATAATTTCCAAAAAGTTGGTAGATGCTAGAATAATAATAATGAGAACATAGATAGATACCCTCTGCTTTGCTTGGGCCAGTTGTACAGGATATGTAAGAATAGTAGCAGCTACTTTTGAAATAGCAGAAAAAACAAAATAGGACAAAGCTGTGTCACTTTTTGTTTGCTTTTTAAGAAACTCATAAACAGCCATGTGTATTGCTGGATTCGAAACTAAAACCAGAGAAGGAATAGAACCACTCCAAAGAGCACTGCAGCCTTCTGTCTGAGAAACTATTACCAAACCCTCTGAAAGAAAAGTACTATCAGTTAAAAATTATTGATTCTGGTTTATTTTAAAAGGATACAATTTATTTATTTATTTTATTTATTAGTTGTACATATTTGTGGCTCACAATAAATTTGCCATCTACCTTAGTATTCAGCAAATATGATATCAAGGAGAAGAATAACAGAACAGAAAAAAAAAAAAAAAAATTTATAGAGTATGCCTCATAAGTATCTTTAAGTGTTTTATACATTTAGATTTTTCAAAGCAAATATGTTCGCAAATGCTTAAGCAGAAGTACAGGAGGGAATTAATAAAATTGAACAAGGAAAATCTAGATAATGATTCACAAAGTCCTTGAAAATTTAATTTTCAATCGGATTAACTGTGACTTAATGTCTGTTACCAGAATGTGGCCATAGACAAACAGAGGAGTAACCAACTTTGTCTAAAACATAAAATTAGGGAGGAAATATTTTAATCTGAGGACAAAGATTTTGTTCATAACTGTAATTTATAGAAAGTTTCCTAATATTTGGTAGAGAGAAACCAAAAGCATTGGTACACATATTTGAATAATTGAATAACTTAAAATTGTTTATTAACTTTTAATACATGTGAAAAAAAAAAAAAAAACCCATAGATAATTGAAGGATTTGAAAAGTTTTAACAGAATGGTACATTTATAATCACTATTATTAATTACATTCACTAATTAATATTTTCAAAAGGTACAGACTTAAAAATGAAGAGATGATTAACGTGAAATCTATAGCAGTTGTAGAATAAGTTAGTACTGTTATCTTGAATGACATAGAAACAATATAATGCAATTAGTGAAAATTAAAAATAAACGATAAATAATAATTACCCAAGAGATTTTTATACCCAACTTCATTATTAATGCCAGCCATTTTCATTCTCGTGTTTACCATCCATAATGGAGATGTTAATAAAACATTTATGACTCCTTAAAACAAAATTGTATTATAATTAGAAACAAGAAAACAAATAAAAATAAAAAATAAATATACATATATATTAACGCAAATCGAAACTTGGAAATTAATCCCATAATTTAAACCATTTAAAGAACTATTATTTAGCAATCATTAAAATGTAAAATCCAGCGTTATACAGTATCTTAGTTGATTTTTTCAAATTTTTTATAAAAAAAAAGAAGAGATTGATTATTGCATTTGAGATAAGATAATAAAAGAAAATAAGAATAGTAAGAAATCTTCTTAGACTAGGATAAATTAGTTTTTAACAAGCTACCTGCTAATGTAGCAAACAATAATTCCATGTTCTTCTTATGAGGAAATGACTTCTTAAGTCCATGGTAAACATAAAAGTAGACAAAATTAGAAACACATATACTTTGAAGAACAGGAACTATTCCTCGATAAAGTGTGGAGCTAAAAGAAAGGAATTAATAGAAATGAAAAAATATTATTTAATTTTCAAATATATGATAACAACTTACAATCCTTCTTCACGGATTAAATCTTTCATAATTTTGAAACTATTCTTAGACCTTCTTCTTTCTTCCACTGAGAAATAAAATATTCTTTACTTATAATTATTATAATATTTACCATGCACTGCATTCCACAGAATGCAGTTATTTATTAAATGAAAAGAAAAATTACACTAGGAGCAATCAGTTGCTCTTTAATCTAATATTTTACAATAACCAAAGATAAATCAAATTAAACTAGAGAATAAAACAGTTCATTCTTGGTGAAAAGTAATTATAAATGAATTTATTTTTTTGCCATGAAGTATACAACATCCAAGTTATTTCTGAAAAGAGAAACAACCTTGGTGTAATGCAAGGTTTAAGCAGAAAAAATAAATTTTAACTTTATAAAGTTCTATCATAAAAATAAATATAGTAACGTTATTTGTTCTTATTGGAAAAACTTATCGGAAAAGAAGAATTCTGTCAACATGCATGTTTATTATTTAAAAATCTTTTCAAATTGCTAATCAAATATAATTCAAAGATTTATATATATTTGTTTAGTCGCAAAATTGGAATTAGCCAAATCTAGTTATTAAATAATATTTAAACTAGGTTAATTATCATATCTATTATGCTTCAAGATGCTTAAAATTTCTAACAAAGAATAGTTAATTGAAAAAATTATGCAATTGAAAAATTACAAACAGATTTTATCAGAAAAATGTAATATTTAAACATCTACAATCACCCAAAAGCAGATGACAGTCTGTTAAGTACATCATAAAATGTGATATTTGTTATTTTTAAGAAATAATTTGATAACTACAACGCTACTTACATTGAAGACGACTCCGCACAGTATCGAGTGGATAAAAAACTACCATCCCTAACATACTACCCTAAAAATGTAAATAATTTGATGAAATGATAGATTAAAATGAATAAAAAATTGAGTTAAGATAAAGATAACTTACTACAGCTCCAGAAACAGCATGAATTAAATTATTATATGTAAACAAATTTTTAGAAACCACAGCCATTTTTTGTTTCAATGTCAGATATTCAATTGTAGGAAAATTGGTTAAAAAGATAGGAGTTTTTAGCTTAACTCACACCACATCTCTTCTTGTGTTCTCACACTAATTGTGTGAAGTTGACAATTAATTCAGAAGAACCGCGCATGTACTCCTAGTAGAGTGGGAGATATAAAATCCAAAGAGATCAGAAGGTACGTACATAAAGAAATATAACAAATGAGAAAAAATATCCACTAACTTCGTTGAATTAAATATATCGTTCACCGTAAATATAACGGTAGAAGGCACGTCTGCCCACAGCCAGTGTTCCGTAATATCTACTTATATTAAGATAATTAAATAAGATTCTAATATTTTCCAGACCCATATAATTATAACCCAAAGCCCACTCATTCAATACTAGATTTTCCAAGGAATATATCGTCAAAATCTATTTTTAGATCTAAAAAAAAAATCATAAATATTTATTAAAAATAGAATATACTATGCAGTAGTATTTATAGAATATAAACATAGCAAAACTGAGTATGGACATTAAACCATAATGTTTAAAATTAGAATTTTAAGAAATAACATTACTTAATAGTATTATTAATATTTGCTAGGATTCTTGTAATCAGCCAAATTACATATTAAATATAAATCATTTCTAAAGTGAATCGTAAGTTTGTCAATGTCCCTAGAATCTATAACGAATATTTTATATTTTAATTAAAAATGGATAGAACAAAAAACCACCCTCTAAAAGTTTTCTAGTTAGTTTTCTAAAACTAAGTTGTTGGAAATTTAGTAATGGAGAGTAGTTAGTCCTTTTTATTTTACGTCATGTCAACAAAAAGAATTGTCCGCGTTATGTATTCTTACAGACTGCAAAGCATTAAATTATGTAAATACTGAAGTACATTATCCTATGATCAAATATTTAATTCATCTAAAATTTTAAAACATCGTCGAATAAGACTGAAAAATGCTTGATTTTGTAACTAACTACACAACAGCGCGAACCGATCTGAGATCTGTTAAAAGTCATCGAAGTACATCTACTTACTTCAATTTAAAGCTGTAAGATCAATAAATAAATAGCGAGTCGCCTTAGGATAAAAATTGACAGAGGAACAAAGTCCAACGTTCTAGGGAACTTAAGTATTTTCAGAAATAAAAATTGAAGCAATTGAAACGTCGGATGTAAACAGCAAATCTTTATGTGAAGCAAATTAGGAAATTGATCACTTTTTCAATCTTAAAACGTATGTGTTTCTTTTTTTGGATATTACTTACTAATGATTTACTTAGTATTTTTTTCTTTTTAAAATTTGAATTGATGGGGTTGTCGAACATCCAACCCCAGCGGTAACATCTTATCACGTGTTTCATCTTCCAACAATTATTCAATCCTTTCGCCCATGAGTCCTACTTATTGGCCAACATACCTCAAAAAACGTCCCGATATCCTAGATATATTTATAAGTTCCCAGATCTCCTCCTCACAAACCATAATCAAATCCCTTGATGACCTTTCTTCAGACCATAGTCCAGTTCTACTTTCACTACATTCAAGCTATGCTCCTAAACCATCATTCCCTAAATTGATTACAGGACGAGTAAACTGGGACAAATTTCGTGATGACTTGGAAAACAAACTAGACTTGGAAATTCCGTTAAAGACAAAAGAAGACATTAATGGTGCCATAGAAAAACTTACATCAATAACAGACAGTATAAATCTGGTTTCCGACCAGGTTATTCCACACAATCCGCCTTAATCAAAATCATTAATGATGTTCAGTCCGCCATTGATGACAAAAAACTAACTGACCTTATACTCATTGACTTTTCCAAAGCCTTTGATTCCATCAACCATTCCATTCTCTTTTCCAAATTAAAATCATTATCCTTTTCCCATAGTTCTATCCTATGGTTTCAATCTTTCCTCTCCTAACGCTCACAAGCTGTCGCTATTCCTAATCAACCATTGTCTTCCTATCTTACTTTGTCCGCAGGAGTGGCCCAGGGCTCTAGCATATCTCCCCTCCTTTTTAGTTCTTATATCAATGACATCCATAATTCAATCCTTCACTGCTCCCATCACCTTTACGCCGATGACTCCCAAATCTACCTTTCCTTCCATCCCTCAGAGTTGCATGAAGCGTTTGCCAAAATTCAAGAAGACTTGAATCGGATCAGTGCCTGGGCAAACTTAAATGGATTAAGGTTAAACGCTGGAAACACCATATTGCTCACATTACCCGACAGTCAATTGGTACCTTGAAACTATTCCATCGCTTCCGCCATCTTCTACCCATCTCCACACGTAGACTCCTAGTAACTTCCCTCATCTTCCCCCACCTTGATTACGGCTGCGTGGTGTACGGTGGCCTCTCGGCAGAACTCAGGGAGAGACTGAAAAGAATTATGAATGCCTTCGTAAGATTTGTCATAGGGGCCCTGAGGTATTCCCGTGTTTCGCACCACCGAATTAGTATGGCTCTTCCCTTCCTTCCGAAGACAATATTTCCTAGGCACATTCCTTTACCAAATAATCAATAGTCATCGTCCGTCCTACGCATACAATCTCCTACAATTCAAATCATCTATCCACACCCTCTCCACCAGATCTCGTCCTTCTGACCTTTACACTCCTTTCCACAGATCTGCATCATTTAAACATTCCTTCGTTGTCCGTTCCACTGCATTCTGGAATTCCATCCCACTAAAAATCCGCCATGCATCATCCTTATCCACCTTTAAAACCTTCTTATTCCAATTCCTCTTCACAATCCAATCAGATGCTAGTTAAATACATACTATGTTATAAGGATTTAATTTTCTTTAGACATTATTGTTTTTTCTCTTATTTTTTATTGTTTTATTCTATGTTGAACGTGAATTTTCATCACCACTCACTAAGCATTGTGAGTAGATAAAATTTGTTTTTCTTAAGTTCTAATTTGTTATTCATGAAATGTATTTCAGTGAAAGGTATTTTATTTCTAATTATCTTCAACATACTTCTCGCTATGTGTATATGTATACTTTATTTTATTTTCTCTTCTCCTAATCTTTATGCATAATCACTTAAATATCTTAGGGAACATATGTATATCATTATTTGTTTTTTTTATATTTTTTTTTGTTTTAGTTTTTACAATTTCTTTCTCTCCATATTAACAGTTATTACTATTTTTTTAATTTTTGTATTCCATCACTACAATGCTTTACCTATAAAATAGATTTTACTTTCCTTTCTAATTTCATTCAGTGATTATTATGCAATAATTTTAGTTAACTGAACCCCTATTACCCAACTGTCCTCGTTAATTTATCCTAAGAGCTTAATTAATACTTAATGTATTACATGCATTTTGTTATTATTCATTGTAATAAGTCTTTTGACCAGATTTATAGTTAATATATATGAACAATACTGTTATTCTAAAGGGACCTAGTCCCAGAATAAAGATGATTTTTCTATTTCTATTTTCTATTTCTATTTCTATTTCTATAAACAGTATTACCTTTAACAGTGAGATTAACAATTTACAAAAGACTAACTTGCCACAGCATATTCGTATCTTATTAAAGGAAAAACGCAGAGCAAGATCGAAGTGGCATAGAACTAGATATCCAACAGATAAAACTCATTACATCCAACTGACTAACAAACTAAAATCAGAAATTAGATAGTACAAAATTCAAAATTTACTAAATTTTACTGAAAAACTTACACCTACCGACAAATCACTGTGGACGACGACTAAACGCCTCCTGAAATTTAAAGACTTTAATCATCCACTTCTTACTGAAGCTCAAACTTTTAATCCACATCCTGATATCCTTAATCCAAATCAGCTTGAATGAATTGAAACAGAACTGGATATTCCACTCAAAATGACTCCTCCTCCTAAAGCATTTCATCCTTCAGAAATATCCAATATTATTCACAGATTACCCTCCCGAAAAGCTCCTGGCCACGACCTAATCACTTCCCATATTCTTAAACTACTTCCTCGAAAAGCCATTCTATTCCTTACTTACATTTATAATGCCGTACTCCGTTCCACATATTTTCCTGACCCTTGGAAACTATCTGTAGTCAAAATGATTCATAAACCCAAAAAGCCACCAGAATACCCATCCTCTTACCGTCCTATCTCTCTTTTATCCATCATGGGCAAAATCCTGGAGAAGCTCATCTTAAAACACCTGTATCCCATCCTAGATTCTAACCACATAATCACTGATCACCAATTTGGATTCCGCACATCCCATTTCACTATCCAGCAATGTCATCGTGTGGTAGACGTAGTCTCCTCTGCATTGAAGCGCGGAATGTATTGCACTGGAGTTTTTCTCGACGTTGAACAGGCGTTTGATCGAGTCTGGCATCCGGGATTGCTTTACAAACTCCGTAAATTCCTTCCCCCTACATATTTTCTTATCATCAGTTCCTACCTTCCTGATAGACACTTCAAAGTAAATCACAATAATACCTATTCATTCCTCTTTTCTCAATCTGCCGGAGTTCCTCATGGTAGTATCCTTGGTCCTATCCTTTACACAGTTTATGCAGCTGATATCCCAAGCCATCCTAACACTGTCATCACTACGTATGCTGATGACACATGTATCCTGTCAGTAAATAATTACCCATCAATTGCATCCCAAATGCTTCAATTACACAACTTTTTTATGAGATAAGAATGAATTTTCTAATAGTAGATCATGATCAATACAGAAGTCGATAAGACGTTGACCATTGGTATTTTTAATTGTTTCTCCTCCATGTCTATCCATCACTCCACGAGCTCTGTTGTAATCACGCCCTGTTCTAGCATTTAAGTTACCCATAAGTATAAAATGTATTTTGTTATTTTGGGCTTTCATTACCACAGTTGCAAGGTCGGTATAGAATTGTTCCTTTTCCCTTATATCTGAGTCTTCTGTTGGGGCATATACTTGTATAACAGTATTTTGACCAATGGAGAATTTCATGTTTGGTTATAACTTCATATAACGAATGAAGAGTTTGATTGAATAATTTTTTTTTTGTGTGTGTGAAATTGAAAAATAGATACGTTTAGTGCGAAATTGTAACACAATTTTTTTTTTTTGTGTGTGTGAAATCACAAAAAAGCGTTCATTTTAGTTTTAAAATACAACAAAGGTTTATATTAGTGGAAAATTGTAACAAAGATTGATTTTTGTGCAAAATCAGGAAATTGATCAAAAAATGATAATATAGGTAAAGGTTGTTCCAATATTAATAATTAATAGTGAAATAAAAAATGCCCTAAAATGTCAGTATTTTAACAGTAACTTTTTGGAGATTAAAGGGAGATTACATATTTCACAAAAAGTTAAAAATTAACACATGTGATACCTCTGAAAGCATATTGTGCCGATAAAAGCCAGTTTTATGAGCCATACTTCAGCTACATGTTTATTAAAGAAGACAAATAAAATGGATACTGCATAACATTTTGGGTAATTGCTATTTTGTTAACTCGACGACAATTAATTTGCATTCCAAAATGTCGATGCAGCTCTAAGTTGAAACGAAAGGTTTTTTTACTTAGGTTTGTCCCTTTATCTTCAACATATCTCATAAGATATTTACAAATTTATTACAAGGTGATATTAATGATATCTTCTGTGAGTCGGATCAGAAGGTAAGAGGAAAACAAAATTTTAGTTTCAACATGATGCCGTATTACTTCGCACTTGTTCTGCCAACTAATCATTGTCGAATTATGTACAATATTGGCTTGGTAAATAAATCCTTTCAATTTTTCTGGGTGAAATAAAACTCAATGTATTATAGACATAAAATTTATTTAAATCTACAATATATTGACTGTAATTTAATATGAGTTTTTCCCATCTTTCCACTAACTGCATAGTGCAATATTCATAAAATGTCTAGAATTTGTTGTTAAAAAATTGATCCAAGTGGTTTTTTATTTTCTCTTCCTTTTGGAATTTCTTTCCATTCATGGAGTTCTGCAGAGACCGGAATAAGTGGTAGTCACTTGGAGGTAGGTCTGGTGAATAGGGAGGTTGGGGAAAAAGGGCCCATACAAGGCTCAATAATTTATTGCGAGTAAGCTATGAAGTGTGGGGCATAGCGCTGTCATGGTGGAACACAACACCCTTTTTAATGGCGCAGTACAGAGTTGAATCAATTGTGTGTCCTGATAGCAATAGCTCATAGAAAATAACACCATTGAAATTCCACCATAGAAAAGCATTATCTTCTTTGGATGCAATCTGGGTTTTGACATTCTTCTAGGAGCTTACTACTAGGCCCCAAAAATTTTCTACGGACTACATTATTGTAAAATTTCAATTTTTCATCTCCTGTTACCAACCTTTTCGAAAATGGGTCGTTTTGTTGCCGTTTCCGTAGTGGATCACTAACAGAAATGGGTGTTGCCAAGTTGACATCGGTTAGAAAGTGAGGGACCCCAACATCAAGCCTGGAAGCATAGACGAGCTTGTGCAAATGGTTTTCTACACTAGTGTGCTACACATTGGCTCATCAATGGCCTTAGCATTGCTCGTTTCAATTTCATGTGGGCGACCTGACCGTTGAGCATCATTGATGTCAAAATTTCCTGAATGAAATTTGGCGAACCAATTTTGACAGGTGCGTTCGGTTGAGGCATCATCCCCATAAACGGTGCAAATTTTTCTATTAGCTTCTGCAGCACGCTTACCTTTTTTGAAATAATACAAGAAAATATACCGATAATGAATGATATTTCTTTCCACATTGCAATAGCAAACACAATAAGTTTCAACAAGCGTTAACAGATATAGTTGTTGACGTATTACAAACAGGATAAACAATGCATCTTAGGAATTAATTCATCAGATAAGAAGTGTATCATAGTGAAATAAAAATAAACAGAAAAACCAAAAGGACTTATTCGCCAACCCAATAAGTTTATGTTAGTAAACGGAGAAGCATGTTAAGGAAAATCATATAATCTAATCTTTAGATCAAAAAATTTATTTACAAATACAAACTCATACAAGCATACCTACATATTTACATTTTTATTATTATTATTTTTTTTTTTTTTAGTTGATGTTTATGAAATATTGCTATTTCTTTTCGTAGAGCCAAATAAATTCGCTTCCTTTCAGTTTGGTAAGCTCTTTTTCAGTTTCCTCCTTAGGAATAAATTCATCATCCAGTTTAATCAGAGATATTTTTGGCTGATAACCAAATTCATTAGCAATGTATACAACCTTTCTTTGGTAACCATCTCTTCCATTTGAAAAGTATGAGCCATTTTTGTTGCCTCCAAAATCTCCCGTTTCTTCGTGTCCGTGAAAGCTGAGGCTATAATTGAACTTATATAACTTAGCCATATAATCTAGAATTTTCATTTCTATATCATTTAGTTGAGGTTGCAACGTGGCGCTAACCGGAGTATTATTACTGATCTTATTCTGAATAAGGTTTGGAGTCAACCCCTCTTGTATTGGTTTTGTTGTTTGAGGTGATCCTGGAATGTTTATTTGAGTGGAATGTATCTTGTCATTTAGTGGTTTAACATAAACTTTATTATTAATGTCATTTGGGGTTGAGATGTTCGGAACAAGCATGGCCGTGGATTGTGGCTTTTGTTTGTTTTGCTTTTCGCCTCCGAATTGTTGATCACTTGGTGGCACAGTATTAATACTTCCACTGGTCTCAAAACGATTCTTTGGCGTATTACCGAAAAATGAAGAAGATTGGTTTTTATTGACTTCGGAATTCCGACCATCACTGAAGTCCTTTTTGACGAAAGCCTTGTTGTCTAAAGGATATTCTTTTGGAACCATAGCAGGCGAGATTTCTGGTATCAGGCAGCCACTGCAACCCATAATTCCGTTTAACTGCAACTTTGTTTTGGGATATGGCTTAGCTGTAGTTGTTGTGGTTCCTCCAGGTGCTGAAAAATAAAGGAAAGTGTAATTAGTTTAATGAACAAACGTATTTTTACATGGTACATAAGATATTATGTTGACTAAGTGTGGTAAGATATATAAAGTCGACGATTGTTCAAGATGTATGATAATTAAATGCCAATTTCAATGCTTCATTTGTTTTTATCTAAAACTTCTTCCCACGAAATAGGACATCATCAAACGTAAAAAGATATGAGAAAATGAAAAGTAGTATTGTTCCATCTGAGAAAAGTAATATAAATCCTTGGTAAACAAATAATGAATCTTTCATTTTATTGTAGTCTTTACATTTTTGTTTTTAACGATGCATAAGGATGAAATCATATAAAAGTGGTTAGAATTTTCATGTATTACTGGATGGAAGTTTAAAAAAAAAAAAATTATGCAATAAGTCAATTAAATTCCCTTTCTGTCTAAACAGTATAGTAGTTTTTTCTAAAACTAATACAAAATATTTATATGAATTTGGAAATCTCCGTCACGCAAAATACATAGATCTTATTCTTTTAACTATAGATCTTTAATGAATATAGTACCCTATTTTATTACACCACTAATGTTTATCAAATACAGTAGTAATCTTAAATACTTTAAAAAAAAGTTTCCTTTAGTCCTTAAAAAAATTTTACAAGTATAAGTACCCTTCATAGGAATTTCAACATATTTTATATTTTAATGGAAGTAAATTGTATGAATTACTTACGAAATCCAACTTTAATATTCTTCATACTTATTATTTTGAAATCACCATTTTCATCTGTTGCATATACTGTAACGTGGTAAATACCATCAGCCGTGATGAAACCGAATTCACCCATAATTATGCCTTTTTCATCTGGAACAATAAAACCAAGATTATAATTCGAAATAATATAGAAGTATGCATTATAATTCTGACATTATAAAGATTTTTGATAATTTTATTACCTTTTTTTTCATACCTATGCTGTTCTCCATCTATGGTGAAGCCGAATTCGTAAGGTCTTTTTTCGTCCTTATCACGGTCCACGGGATGGCATATAGCAGATGTGAGCAATAATACCTGTTTTTTTTTTAAGAAAACAAACAAACCATTCGAATGAAAAACTCACAAAATAAATATTATTACTATATATGTTATAATTATTATAAGTAATATATAAAAATCTTAAAACGATGATCAAATAAACAGTCAAAACATATTCATGTTCATAAATCACCATTAGGGTAAGATCATTTTTTAAAATTTAGGAGGGTGTTTTAAATATGTCTTTGTAAGGTGAATAGTAATTCTATAAGATAAAATAATAATAATAATACAGCTCTGAATATGCTTCGGTATGGACCAATGACAATGCCAACTGAGGAGAGCCTCACAGAATCATGGAAGTGTAAATCTCTTCATGGAAGATTTAGAATTCCCTGAAAATATCTGGCATAAATTTGGAGCCTCAATCCGTTAGTTGACAACAGGAAAAATGTTCCCAGGGACAGAGGGATTCCTTCTGGCTATACAAGAACAGGTAATGGCAATATAATCCTACAGGAAGTATATTCTACATGAAGCAGTCGATGACAGATGCCGTCTATGTAAAACAACTAATAAAGCGATTCAACATGTTACCTAACTGCCAGGCATTAGTGGATAAAGAATACCTTGTGAGACACAATTCTATTCAGTCGGCACGACAACTCGATGTCCAGTCTTAGCCTCCTGTACCAGCCTCCACCAATTGTTCCTATCCTGTGCAGCTGCCATCCAGCTCCTCACTCCCAACGTGGACCTGGCATCACCAGCCACATCGTCACTGTACCGAAGCTGAGATCTTCCTCTACGCCTTGTTCAGTGCATTACTTCTGTCATGATCTTTTTCGGAATGTGATTCTCAACCATTCGAACGGCTAGCCCAGCCCATCTCAATCTATCGAGCTTCAAGAAATGAACCACGTCTGGTTCTTTAAACAAATCTTTGAGCTCTTGGTTTGTCCGACGTCTCCATAAATTTCACAGCTTCAACGTTCTTAGGCAAAATCTTCGTCTCAAAGACCATTAGATTCTGCTCGTCAGTTTCGATATAGTCCATGTTTCTGAGCCATAAAGGAGTATCGGTCGGGTAATTATTTTATAGAATTGGATTTTTGCTCGCCTGGTTAAGGCACGGCTCCTAAAATATGGACTGAGGACATAATAACAACGATTGGCACATAGCACTCTTCGCATAATTTCAGAATCTACGACATTATCATGAGTTATAAGAGATCAGAGATAAATAAATTCCGACACTTTTCAATTGAGAATTCTCTGATAGTAATCCTTTCGGTCTGGGATTTTCCTCAGTGACCATATATTTTTTTTTGCATCGTTGACTTTAAGGCCTATTTTTCTTTCCGCTTCCACTAGTTTCAAGAATCCATCAGAGGCTGCCTGGAAAGAGCGTCCAGCAATGTCGATATGATCTGCATAAGCAAGATGTTGCACTATCCGACTGAATACTGTCCCGTCCATTTGAATAAGAGAATCTGTAATGGACTTCTCTAAAGCTAAATTGCGGGAAACAATAATGCGGCCAAAATCGTGCATCAGGCTCTGGCACGAAAATATTAATTAATAACAGAACATTTTTATAGACATCAGTCGCAGGCTATATTAAAAATAGGGAATGTCAAGCTATACTGGGATCAAACTATTATAACTGATCATAGTATTTCCCACAATAGATCAGATACACTACTCGTTGACAAAGAAACAAAGCCATCATTTTCGAAGTTAGAGTTCCTGCTGATGATAATATAGCTAAAACATTAAGTGGAAAAATAGGAAGAATCGAGAGCTATGCGAGGAATTAATACAGTTATACCGGCTGGTGGAAGTAAAATTATTACCCATTATTGTATCCAGCAATGGCCTGATTCCTGAAGAGACCCTGAAATCAATGAAGGTACTTGGACTAAGCTGGGAACTTCAGGAAATCCAGAAAGCGGTAATGCTGGGAACCGCCAGCATTGGTCGAATTTTTTAACATATTTCTAATTAAATATTCAATAAACTGTACCCTTGACCTCGGTTCGGGTCAGTGAATTTATCCGGCATAAAGTCGAGAATTGAAAAAATAAATAATAATAATAAATTTCTTTATTGAAAATTTTTAGATATGTCTTTTGGCAAATATTTTAAATGTAATCTTCATTCGAGAACTTTCTCTGCAGGATTAACATGAATGCTTGATTGGAGGAACCTCCGAGCAAAGGCACTCCTAGCATGATATTCTATAAGATGAATCCAAGAAAAGTACAATAACATCAGTATTTAAGTTTTTACACGTAAAAGATCAAAGAAGCTTCCTTAAGCATGCCAGCTGATGCTGCATTTATGCTATATATTCCTTGAAGACTCCTGAGGTATCGTTATTAAATATTTCTCTCTTGTTTTGGATCCTTCGTGTCAACGATAAATAAAAGTCCTTATTTAAAGTTTGTTGTAAAAATGCATCATATATAATTTTATTTTATTATTAATACTAAATTATATAAATAGCTGGCCTGTAAGAATAATTTGTATTGTATATTGGTCAGTATAATAATGGTATCATAATATAGAAATAAGGGAATGTAATATTATAAGAGCGAGGATTTTTTTTTAAACATAATTAATAATATATAAAAATTTAAAACGTGTTAAAATTACAAAAGGCTTTGTTAATGATACTCAGTTTTTGGTAATCAAGAAACATTAATCATTATATGTAATAAACGTATAACCAACCACAAAGTGTGCTTTTTGAGCTATTATCAAGGAAAAGATTTATTTCTTAGTAGCTTTTTCTAAACTTTTCTGGAGGATGTGCTCATTTTTCGTCATTGTAGGGGAAGATAATATATAATAAGATAATATATAGAAATATATATTTTTAATCCATACATACAATATTTTTAAGCCAATTGTAATTTTTTTCGATATGGATACTTCCAACAATGATAATTCTACAATGTATAAAGGTCAGGAAGGACACGTATTCTATCCTTACGACATTGAACTAATGTAAGATTTATGCTGGCGGATCCAATGAAGCGTTTTATCAGGAATCGTGAAATGCGAAGAAATTTAATTATTTGATTTCAATAATAAGAGGGAATAGCAATGAAGCATTATGTCCGCTATTTATCACCGTGACGCAACGTCACAGCAGCCGGTGACTTTTGACCTCGTTCAGGAATAAATTTACGTCGGTATCCTTTTATTGCAAACACTTTGTTTTCAGTGGCGTAGCTAAGGTTTGGATGTGCCTCAATGCAAGAGTCCGTATTTCTTTTCCCTTCTCCTACTTCTTAAAAAATACCAACTTTATTCCTACTCCCTGGGTACGTACACTCGAAACATTTTTCAATCCCCTTACATACTTAACAGAGCACAATTATTCATAGTATTTGTTTTTAGAAGATTTATATTTTTAAGTGAATATCGAACATTTTTTTGGAAGGGATTTTACATAATATTTTTATACCAATTAAAAATAACTAGAATGAGAAACACATTATTTATATTTACTTCACGTTCTTGTAAGGTGGTAGACATACCTTCGTAATATATAATTACAAAGCCTTAAACGTGATAATTCATATACATATGTACAAAATTTTACACAATAATAAAAAACACATTGATGAATTGGCTTAATATTCGTAGTTGAAATGTGACATTTTTCTTTACATGAAGATAATATTAAGTAATTGAGCCAGTAGTAATGGATTGATTGATTGATCGAGTAATTGATCAAAGGTATCCGTAGGTTTCGTTTCGACGATCCAGTTTAGATATTATTTTGAGTTTATCGGCTTGTAGTAGATTCAGCCGGACTACATTTCTAGAATAATTAATAACGTATATTATAATTATTCAAATGGTTCTTTAGAAGTGTGACAAAACCAGCCTTGATTAAGACATTCTTCACAAACAAATGAACAATTCTCTCTATGATTTATTTTTAAATTGGTTGAAATGTTTTCCTGTACGTACGTTTGTTCACTGCGCCCCTCCCTCCCTTCCTCTCTCCCCCCCCTGGGCTTTGCACTCCGAAGTTCAGAGTTAATTTCTAGTCTTTTAGAAATGTGGGAAATTACGATACAAATATACTAAAAATTAATAAATATAATTAAGATCCAAAGAATTTTTTATTATTTATTTTGGCTTAAGTTCGTTGTGTGCTCTAGAAAAGTGGAATTGGAAAAGTGGGTTTAGAGTATTAGATACTCTTGATCTGGGTGACATCAACCCCTCAGTGTCGGGCTTAGACGTTATCTCCTCTCCCCTAAAAATATTAAATTTATTTCTTAACATGTTGAATATAATTTAATATTTGAATTTTATTGCATTCAACATTTCTCTAATAGTTGCTTTATTAGTGGACAAGCGCCCCTAAAAATAGACCAGCGCCCCCGACGGGCGCCCCTCCAAGTCTTGGAGTCCCCGGGGCGAATCCCCAAGTTGCGCCACCTTCAAGCCGGCACTGCTTACACTAAACGAATATACTTCCCGTTGTTATATACTTTTGTAAAAATATAATGATTTTCGTCAGGTCATCAGTTCATTCATTCAGGTCACGTTTCATTCAATGCGTGAGCAATAGTTACGTCATTGTGGTTTTATGAAGTTTTTGAAGGAACCATAGTTTTGTATTCAATTTGGAAAAATATTCAAAGCAGACATTGAGGAAAATATTCTCCAGTGTGGTAATGTCAGTTCGAATCCGGTCTAGGCTAGTTGAAATGTATTTCTTGGCGGATCCGCAAAATGAATCACGACCATCCCGCTTTAGTTAGATTAGATTTGGTTGTACCTCTAGAACAACCTCCCGTATGCCAAAAATGGCGAAGCAGGGAGAAATCGAAAAAAAGGAAGAAACATGGGCCGACACAGCAAATGTAATTAATTGTATAAGATCTGCAATTTTTCCAATTTTTTTTTTTTTTTTTGCTATTCTATTTTTTTTTCTTACCCCCTAGGAATTTCTTGATTACAAAATACAATATATATATATATAAATGTATATATACATAAATTTTCAATTTCCTTTTATTGCACAAGTGTATTTTAAGGTAAGAGGGCTATGC